AGAAGTTCGATTGGTTGATCCAAACGGGTTTGAAAATAAAGCCACAGGTGATAGTCGTAGTTTTTGTTTTTTTGTTTTTACATATTTGGGAAGCGGAAATCCACTTTTTAGTCAAAAATTTTTTTATTGGTTCACTCTGCCGATTATGTCATGTGAACAAAACTAGCTTAATTACTCAAAATTTATTGATTTCCTTTTTTCTATTTTTTTTCTATTGACCTTCGCCCAATTGTATAATTTAATAAAACAAACAACAGTACCACATCGAAAAAAAATTAAAATAAAAGTTATCTCTCTTTACTTAGTAGAAATACTAAAATAATTTATTATTTTCGTTTGAACTTTAAAAAGAATTTGAAAAGAACGGTCCGATTTATGAGTAGAGTGATCGGTTAAAATGGTGGGTCGGTTGAATTCGATTATATAAAGTAGTAAATTTGATATAAATTTTAACATTTGTATGATTAATAAAAATGTCTTTTTGTAAGTAATTAATTATTTTTTTTTTAAAAAAAAATTGAATTAAAATAAAGTATATTTGATGTCTTCATTTTTTATAAATTTTGATTAAAAAATTAGAAGAAGATAAATTTTATTTGTGCTCAAAGTAAAATTTAATAATTATTGGATTGCATAAAGCGCAACGGTAGAGTTTAATAAATCCTGCCCCTTAGTATTGCTAGATCCTTTCAGTCGAAATAAATTTGGAAATAAAACTAAATAACATTTTTTGAATTTAACTTGTACTATTTTAAATGCCAATAAATATGACCCAGTTGATAATAATATAACGTACGCTACGGCAGAATTATTTGCTTATTAAAAATAAAGGGTCAAGTAAACATAGTATTTTATATTTATTTCATTCGCGTTCTAAAGATTAATCATAGCCAAATACTAAATTCAGCAGCATTTCTTTATAGCTATGAGAAGTTTTTTATTACAATATAGATTGAGGAACAAGAATCTGGAATTCTAATAGATTCTTTGCACTACTGCCATCTGGAAAACTGAACTAAGTTCAAAGTCTTGACTTCAAAGCAGATAAAGTAATTTGGAATTGATTACAGATATTTTCAACCTAATAAAAGCAAATATTTCGTATGAATATTTAATAGTTATCTTCCATAAATTCGGGTGAACTTGGTCAAGAATTTGGAATCTTTGGTTCGTAGTGCTATTATTATAGACCAATTTACATCATGATCCTCTAAGTCTTTTATATTCTGATGCTAGTGTTAACGGAGTAGAAGTACCATTAATACTTGATAGTAGTGCTGCAGGAAGCATTGTTTCGTGTCAACTATTAAATGATTTAAATATCCCTATAGAACGCCTATCTACTACATGATGATTAATAAATGATATGAACGGAAAAGACCTAAGGTGAATTTTCTGATTTCCCCTTAACTATTCAAGGAGTCACTATTTCTATTAATTTTTTAATTGTAGAAGCCGACTCATATAGTGATATTGTTGGAAGTTATTGATTTTTAAAATCTTAGGAAAATTTTAATTGGTTAGATTTTGGATGGAAAGGAAATCCTGTATAGTTTAATGTTATACCTCATATCTAAAGGAAGAACTAGACCTTGAAGAAAGTGGAGAAATCGAAGAGTAAAGGAGGAAGTAAAGGAAACATAAATAAGAAGAGGTGAATGAACAAGCTTCCAATTCGAAGCACCGAATCATAATAATCAACGTAATTCTTCAGAATAATTTAACTGTAATTTCTACAATTATGCAGTTGTAAGGATTATATTTATCAAAAATATTGATCATATTACAGAAGTTGAAGACGGAGAGCCTGATGTGGAATAAACTTGTGGTAAGGATCTAAAGTAACGATCATTTCACGAAAATTCGGGCTTATAGACGAATTGAAAGTATGAAAAGAAAAGTTAGAAGTTCAAAAAAAAATTTCATTACAAACCTGAGAACTTCGATGATCTGAAAGGTGTTTTTCTTTTAAATTTTCAATGTTTGGCATATTATATCATGATAATAAAGAAGACCTTTAAAATAAGGGATGCCTTGTTAAAATGCATACAATCATAAACATTTTCTATTATAACCAATCTGCATAATTTTTCTATATTAGGTGGACATTGAATTCTATTAATATAGTCTTCCTGCTCTTCAAGAATAACTAAGAAAACATATGCTCCCTCACATATGCTCTATGAAGGCTAAATGATAAATATAAGTGGCGGATTTCCAGCTGGTGGACCCTTCTAAAAGCCTAGTGATTGTCATGAGATTTATAAAATAATTTGCGTTTTATTTAAGGTTCCTCGTCCGGTGCAAATGAATTTCTGAGAATCATAAGAGCTCGGAAAATACTGGATGAGCCAGATTGTTAATTCTTTTTCAACCATAATTTGAAGATACTTATATTAATCATTTATAATACCATGTCCAAAATTTGATCAGGAAGAGGTTCAACACATGACTTCTTTGTTAACTAGCTTCGCATTGGTGTTTTTGTACAAATATTGTATGCGTATAGGCAGAGAATAAGCTAATATTGGGATGTATAAGATTGACATTTAGCATTTGAATGGGACGGATATTAAATCTGCAAGCAAACGCATATGATTTAATGTGTTGATTTCATCAAGGAATGACCAAAATTTACGCTTTTTCAAAGCATCATTCATAAACATCATAATGATTTCTTCACTAATTCCAGCATAGAGATTAATACTTTAAATTGAACTTCAACAATTTCAACTAAAATTTTCTAAAAAAAATAAATAAAGAAAATTAAAAATATTATTGTAAAAAAGAATGATTTTGTATATCTTACCACATCTTGCTTCACCTCTAATTATGACTGGAATATTTGCTTAAAAGGAGTAAAGACATCTTTATGAAATTATCACCAGATAAAGCGTATTCGGGACAAGTAATCTGAATTGGACTATTATTTTCTCAAATTTTTATATTCCAAGTTAAGTGAGATATCCGGTTATCAGAAGAGAATTAAGTAATTTCAGATCAGTAATGAGGCTAATTCGATAAATAGATGTGTTGGTGTTCTTACCTATATTTATATCAATAGAAATTATACCCAAAGATTATAGCTCAAATAAAACACATAGACATTATATCGATATGCTTACGATAGATCGAAGTTTAATTCTTTAAATTGATGTACGACCTTATCATCGCTTATTAAAAAGCTACGTGGAATTTCTTTTAATCCATTCAGTTTAGTCTTGTCCTGATAAATCGGATGTAACATATAAATTTTTCTATTGGATTAGTGTTTAAACCGTTAATTGCATGAATATCTAAGATGCATTCCAGTTTCTTACAAATAAACGCCAAATATAATCTTTATAGATTCTCGCTTCTACTATTATTTGTATTATTTGAAGCAAAAAACTTCGTTTAATGAAGAATATAAAAGTTGCCATGATTCCCATGATTAGCAAATAGTGACATGATATTAATCAGAACTCGTATTTTGTCATAACAAACGGCAACGAACAGTACCCTTTACAATGATTCCGACATTACATGTTCAAATAAAATCTTGAGCAGTGGTTGGTCCAACTGCCAAATTTTCGTGAATTGCTATTACGTTAGCAGACGAAATAAATATGTAGAGGTTGAGTTAGTGACAATTGGAGTATCACCAATTATTCCAGCAACTGTTTTGAGATTCTCTGAAAATCCTTATTAGTGTCATCGATCTCACCAAGAAGATTAAGATAGATACTCTTTGGGTCTACGTGAAAATTTCTTGTTGCGGTTTGTTGTTACAAACCAATTGTGTTGCGTTTTTGTAATTTTACTTTATCTAATTGTTCTGATAAAATTTAACTTTTAAATAAAATAAAGTAATAAAAATAATAAAAATAAAAAATTTATTTACCAATTTCCCAGTTCTCTCTTTAAAATTTAAAGGTATTCTTTCATGTTTTCTGTAAATTTTTCCATAACCAAATGTATTTGGATCAAAACAGATACTATATTAATGATTATTTGTGTTGTGCAATATTCACTTGAGTAAATTCATCCATAATTTTAACATTTCCGCTTATTTATCATTGTTAGTAGTTTTTCGATTAAAAGAGCTCGTCCAAGTAAAACTTAAACTCATTCAGGTTATAAATCATGATATTTTAATACGACTAAACATTTCTCTTTGTTTGGTCATGTGTAAAAGTAAAATCCCAGTATTATTAATTTTTTAACTGTAACTTCGATACGGTTTTAATAGTTAGTGTACATATTTTATAATTCCATGTTGCTATTAATACATGATGCATATTTTCTTCTAGAGTAGAGAATTTCTTGATCCATAGTAACGCTTTCAAAAACTTTAATCAATAAAAAGAATTAAAAATTTGTTGACCTGAATAAGCGATTCTCTTGACTCAATTTCTGAATTATTATCGATCCATTAATCAAATTTTTAGTATCAAGTTTGGTAATCTTTAAGGAACCTATGAAATCTTCTGAGCTCTTATAAAATGTAACAATCACTATTGCATTAGAAAGATTTTTACAAGGTAATCGAAAAATTTTTAGGATTTAAAACCGTTCAGCATTATCATTCGTAACATTTTTCCAAAGCAAAGATTTGTCTGTACTTTTTGAGCTTTCCTCATTCCTTAGACTGTTTACATATTATAAGATATCTTTCAAAAACGTTGGCATCAATTTTTGCGCTATATATTCTACACTTGTAGCAGCAGCATCTTCTCGAAAACAAGCTTCAAAGACATTCCTAAATCTTTGAGAACTATTTATTATTAGCAAAGAATTCGCACTGATTGTTTAACGTTTTCTCATGGAAAGCCCAGTAATCTGATGTCAATACTTGTTACAACTTAACTTTATGTGTATTTAATTATAGGTCCAAAATGTAATCATTTACATCTGCTACTTTAGAAACTGAACAAAGCTCGCAATAAAATTTGAAAATAGATCGAGTTAATGTTGATAATCTTTATAAAAGTTTTCTAAGTTTGACAAATTCTTCTCGAGAGACGGCCAAAACACTTAAGTTTAATTTTTGGGACAGCTGCATCGAAATTTTGAACGATTTTTCGTCAGGAATATTCTAAAATCTGTTGTAACAATCTTTATATCAACCACTATATATTAACAAATTTATTAAATACTTTTTGGAAAATATATTATTTAAAATTTACCTTGGAAAGTTTAAAATAAGTTTAACTTAATGCCGTTAAAATAATTACTAACATTTTCTACAATAAATTTGAAGAATTAATAGTAGCAAAGTGAAGTGATTTGCTCTCGCTAATATTTTATAAATAATCATAAAAAAAATCCTCCACCATTGCTTGTAGTGTAAGTTAGTATTTAAAAGTGCTCGTTATTTGGTTGGAAATATGGGACCTTTGCAATAGAAAAGGGGGAAACGGCTGGACAAAATAAAATTGAGTTAATGCTAAATCTGAACATATTTTGACCTAAAAATCATATTTGGCATATAAAAGTAAAATTGATTTTTTTCCGGCTGTTTCCCCCTTTCTATTACAAATGTCCCATATTTTTAAAAAAGTAAAAAAAAAGTATTGGTCAATAAGTATTACTTACTTACTAAATTTCGTTTCCATTTTAAAAATGAATTAAACCAAACCATTAAGAAACCAATATTATGAATTAAGGATATTTGTTAAATAAAATCATTTCATAATTGCATAAATTTCCAACAATATTTTAGGAATCAATCATATGAATGCCCCTTATATAGACCAAATACATGTTATCTACAGCAAAATTTAAAATACATAATTTGAAGGAATTTTTAAATTATGCGCAGCCGGATGTTACATGCCAGGATATTCTATCTGGAATGTTAAAAGAATTTTATTACTAATTAGAAAATGATGACAATGCGAAAATTAACAAAATGTGCAAGTAAATTTTTTTTATAATTTTATAATAAATTTTATTTAAACTTTCAATTATAAATGTTAGAAATTTCGAAACAAACATTTTCTTCTAACTTGGCATATCTTTAGCATATAATTTTTATTAATCGAATGTATAATAAAGTTTAATAAGGATAAGTACAATCGCATAGTTGTGTAAATGGTGCGATGAGTTATATAATCACGTGAAGAATTTAAAGGTTCAAAAATTAAATAATTATAACTTCTTACGAGTTTTGTCGGGAGGTTTCCTAGCCAGCTATTCTTGGTACGACTCCCATATATGGATGGGAAGGTTCTAAAAGAGCGACTCAGAATCGGTTCTGGAACCGATTCTAAATTCAGCATATTCTGAATTTATATGAGTTACAAACAATTTACCAAATTTGAAACTTGACGCTCCTAGTCTTAATTTACATTAGGAGCCGAAGCAGAACAAAAGAGGAACCGAAATGCGTCCCCAACCTTACTCCCATAACGTACAATAAATTAAATGTCCTGTATGATAACGAGTTTCTATATCGAGGTGAATGCGTTCCATGGGAAAATATCCTCTTGCAAAATCCGGCGGCTTATGGTGTTTCCCATATTGTATCAGGATTGGTTATAAACCTGGGTGTTAGTGGCTTATCAACCTAAAGTGCTCTTCTCAGAGCGCGGGAGTAAGCTAGTTCATAACCTCCTAAACAAGGGCAAGTGTCAAGTGGACATTTACTCGAATTACTATTGTAGAAATTCAGCAATAAATTTGGATTATTGCGGAACATAAACCTATTTGTTATTAAACGATAAACGTCGTATTTTTCATAATATGTTATGGATTTGATAATATTCGTTTAATTATATTGTTAAAAAAAAAATAAATAAAATAATATATAAGAAGTAACGTGAGGTTAAAGTAAGGTTAAAATTGATCTTTCTTTCAATTATTGATTTTTTCGATCTTGGTTCTTTGTAAATATAATTATATATGGCTTGTCATTTAAGTATTGCCAATAAAAATCACATTACGACCATATGATTAAATATATCTCATGACCTTGATTTTACTGACAACATACGTGACGTGAATGAGTTTAAAATCATCATACAAACGAGCATCTAGATTTGATGACAACATGTAACATTTTACTTCAGTTTCGAAAAGTTAAAAATTAAATGAATCGGTTTTCAATAAAGTACACTTATTTTTTAGGTCGATATGGAACATTATTATTAACAGAATGGAGGAAGCTTTATTGATTCAATATCAAAATTTGATGTCCTACTCTAATACGATGAATTAAAACACGCTGGATTGTTTTGATCATTCTTTCCTTTGTTATTAGTCTTAAGATAATAAAAATTTGGAGGAAATATTAAATGTTAAAATAACTTCGTTCAAAAAGTTTATTTTCAAGAAATTTATATTCAAAAGTATTATTCGTGCAAATATTATTTTTGTTCCGACTTTGTCATTTAATTAACCGCTTTTAATAGATATGACTGTGTCCGCAACAATTATAATAAAATCTTGTGAAAGTACTAATTTGTTGAAGAAAATTTAATTTTATGAATTAATATACGGTATTTTATCTTTAAATATTTATATTTTGTTATGAATAAATAAATCGCTCAATTACAAACTGATTTTATTTGATTAACAGAAAGTTTACACATACTCTATAATCAGTGTTGAACAATTCATAGAAATATATATATATATAATTAAAAATAATTAAAATAATTTAAGAAAAAAAATGGTTCCAATTCAATTTAAATTCGTTGTTACGTCATAGTACAACTTCAAACCAATGTAATAATATTAAGTTAGAAAAATGGATTTTCAATGTTTTCTTAATTCATTGATTTTTGGTGGTTCAAATGAACGGTTGATTATGCTTTTCCCTTTTAAATCCTGACTATGTGGGTTTCTAATACTAATATTATTATCTATAGCATAGAGTCCTCCATTGGACCTTGCTAATTCAGCAAATTTAGCATCGAAGTCTTTGAGGTTGCCAAAAGAAATTTCGAGATTATGAGCAATAACTGGGCATGTTATTGATTTTGGTCTTGTTAATGATTTTGGTCCTAGGGGGGGAAACTCAAAGCGTACTACTTGAGTAATATTGATACTAAATCCTCCCATATTTTTATTGGGACTCCACTTAGAGGAATGGTGACCAGGATTATAACTTGTTCTGTGGGAACCATTTTTGTCAAGGATATTAGCAGCATATTTATGTGACCAAGTATCCCCAGTAGTATGACAACCCACATAATTACATTCCCTGTGTATTTAGTATTTTTAGCATTTTTTCCACTAATTTTTGCATGACCTACGAATTTGGGTACTGCACTAAACTCTCCACCAATTTGTCCCTCAAAGTTTGTTTCACGACCATTTGAAATTTCAATAGATCGATTTAACGACTCTGGATATGCAGTGTCTAAGGAAGTAAACAAAGCATTATGCATATCATTAGAAATACATGATTTTGGAGAAACACTAACTTTAACAAAATCAAGGAAATATCCACGACAGCCGCGCCTTTGCAAAAATGGCAATGGCAATTGATTACTAAGCATATTTCCTATTTTGATTTCATATACATTAATGTCATACGTCAGTTCAGGACGAATCTTCTTAGGAGAATATTTAGCCCGGAGATGAACATTGATAGTAAATTTTTGATAAATTTCTGGATATTCAGTAGTGACTATTGCGTCAGAAGATAATCAACTATATCATTATTTACATTACCATCACCATCACCACCACCATCGCCATCATCACCACCACTACCATTGCCACTATTACTACCATTACTATTACCACTGCCATTATTATCACTTCCATTACCATTGCCGCCTCTATTACCATTATTACCATCATTACCGCTTCCATTATTATTATCGCTTCCATTGTCATTAATATTATTATCACTCTCTTCCTTTTTGACTGGTTCTTGTTCTTTCTTTGAATTTTCTCTATCATTTGGAAGAGAATTTCTCGTTGAATTGCTATCACCAAATTCTTCAATAATGTGATCCCTGCTACTAGATGATTCACTTAAATTCTGATTAATATCACTTTGATCAAAAATCAATATTTGGTTTATAGCTTCATACTGATTATCAAACATAGCTTCAAGGTCTTCCAAGATCGAAGTATCTAGCGGTTTAGCAACCCAGCAAGAAATACATGGTCTGATAGAGTCATTTTGAAAGTCAATTCCTATAGCATACACAGAATGTGATTTTAGTATTTCATCAATATCCTCCTTTCGGTTATCAAGTGATTCTTGCAACTTCTCAATTTCGATATACGAAGTGGCAGAAATTCCAGGTGAAATGGTTGCTTTCATTGTAATAAACTCTGAAGCATCTATAAAGTTTGAGCTATAGCAAACATTTAATCCATTATCATTACGAATATTAACGGTTGGCTCATTAAGCTGAATACAATTGAATGGATTACTATCGACAGTAACATGGGATGTTTCATTTAGTTTTCTTTCTAATCTGTCAATTTCTTTAGTTCGTTCTTCTAATTTTGGAGCATTTGATGAGGTTATAGTCTGATTTTCATCTATTTCTCCTACTATTAATTTACCTTTATATTCATATATATATATTTAATATATTAAAACTTAATTAAATATAACATTATAATTTCCAAAAAAAATAACAGTATAGTAAAATTATATACCAGGAATTATTGGAATATTGTATAATTCATCGTCTATATAAATAAAAGATATTAAATTTTTAACAATCATTTCGAATAATAATATAATTTATGTAATTTTATAATTAAAACATGCCATTTTTTTTACTTAAAAATTATATATATTATATAATTAAATATTTAATTTAAATTACTTACTTATTTCATCATTTGTAATATTTAAAGCTTCTATTAAATTAAAAATATATATGTTAAATTAAAGAAATTATTAAATTTATATATTTTATAAATATTATAATTACCAATACTTTGACTAATTTCTAAACTTTTAGTTTCATAATCTAAAATTTTATTTAATCTTTCAGTAAAATCAAGTAAACAACTTGTATAAAATACTTGTGAATGATCTTCTATATCATTTAAATTATTATTTTGTTTTTGATTTAATGCTTTATCTGCTTTATAAAATTCTATAATATCATCTTTTAATTCTATATTAAAATCTTTTTTTTGAATATTTTCAATCCAATTTTCAATAATTTTTTTAATTATTAATGCAGTTGGCCTTTTTAATGAATCTATATCCCAACATTTTTTCATTAAATTTATATAACATTGTGGAGCATTTTTAATAATTTTAGGACGTTTACCTTTACAAATATCTAAACTAAGTTGAAAATTATAAACTTCATTATTAAATGGAGGAACTCCTGATATAAATTCCCACATAATCATAGAAAAACTATATATATCACTAGCTAAAGTATAAGGTTGACCTCTCAAAACTTCAGGAGCTACAAATGGTAAAACTCCATAAATTTCATTTTTTTTAGATATTTAAAAATAATCTATAGGTTTACATAATCTTAAATCACTAATAGATAAAATCTTACTTTTAATATTTAAAATATTACTATGATAAAAATCACAATGAATAAGATTTTTTTGATGCATTTTCTCAAGTCCTCTAATAATGTTATTTAATTATAATAATTTAAGAATCTATTTATCCTTAACTATATTTGATAAATTTTTTCTTAAATTATTTTTTGTTGCATATTCTATTATTATCATATAATTTAAAGTATTTGAATCTTGAGTAAATCCATATAATTGAATAAGATTTTTATCTGAATATTTTTTTAATTGACTATAATAATTATAATGATGTTTCCCCTAAAAGAAAAATAAATCATTTAAAAACTAATTAATTAAAATTAAATAAAATTATTAATATATACCTCATTTAAAAATTCATCATTGAGTTTTGATGATTTATCTAAACTTTTAAGAATTACATTAATACTACCTTTTCTAATCCATTTTTTCTTTTCATAATCATAAGATATAATAAATCCATCAATCCAGATTGCTTTATATATAATACTAAATCCTCCTTTATCAAAATACTTAATATTTTCAAATTTATTATAAGGAATCCATTCTAA